ACTGAAGGTTCCCTAACTGTCTTGGATTCATCTTTTCTAAGCATGAAAGTAAAATTCTTCAGAGTAAAAGCTCTTTCTTGAGGTTTTAATGACCTTTCTGTGTGGAGCAGTAATAAAACTGAGGTGTTCTGTTCTATTTTATTTCATACTTAGTGGTGGACACAGAGATGAGAAGTGGAAAACTGTTAGACCAACATTGTGAAGGGAACGGTGCTCTAGGACCAAATTCTTCTGAGCAGTTTACCTGTGCACATTTCCTTTAAAGATTGTTAAGCTGAAAATAGCAAAAGTTATCTTTGGAACAAGCATTTGTCCATTTTCCGTGTAAAACAAGCACCAATATTTTTTGTCATAAAAATATTTTACTTATTTCTGCCCTTAGAAAGGAGTCCAAGATAGAGGATAAATTATTATTTGTGAATTTTATGATTCGCACTATATATATTTGTGTTTGAATCTCCACATGTCTACATATATTGGTGTATAATATGTATATTATGTGAATAAATGCATGCATATTCATATTCACTTCTTGTACAAAGGAAATAAAATACCATGAATTGTCTCAGGTAATTGCATTGATTTGAGTCTAATTTTCAAGGTATTTAACAAAATAACCAGAGCCATGTGTCCTATGTTATATTAATCGTTTAGGTCTCTTTTTCCAGTGATATTAACACCAAGTTTCAATAAAATAAATACTCCATTCCAGTGGGGCCAAAGCATTTATTAAATCTCTATGAGCCTTATTATATAAAGCATTGTTTCATATCTTGGCTTTGGTGTGAAGTTAACAAGGAAGGCTTCTCATTTCTACAGCCTTCTTGGCAGCTTCCTTCACCTCCTTGTTCCTCAAGCTGTAAATCAAGGGGTTTAGCATAGGAATCACCAGAGTATAGAGTACAGATGCCACCTTCTCTTGATCTAAGGAATATTGTGAGGTGGGTTGAATGTAACTGAAGCTTACCAAGCCATAGAATAAAGTCACAACTGTTAGATCTGAGATGTATGTGGAGAAGGCTTTTTGTCTACCTGCTGCTGAGTGGATCCTCAGGATAGCAGCAACAATGAAGATGTAGGAGATCACCACCATCATGAAGGTGACCATGGTGATGATGGTCCTGAAGACTAACAGCAGCAATTCACTCATGGACGTGTCAGAGCAGGAGAGCTTTAACAGGGGAGGCAGGTCACAGAAGAAGTGACTGATGACATTGGGCCCACAGAAGGACAGCCTCATTAAGCCAATCGTATGTGTTAGTGAGTTGATTAACCCTCCAACACATGAGTCCAACACAAGGACAATGCAAACTATTCTGGTCATGGCCACTGTGTAGAGTATAGAGTTCACGATGGCCAAATAGCGATCATAAGCCATTGCTGCAAGCAGAAAGCCCTCAGTGGTAATGAGTGACACAAATAAAAAATATTTCACAATGCACGCATTGAATGAGATTGTCTCCCATTCCACAAAGAAATTCAGCAGCATTTTGGGTGCAAAAATGGAGGAATAGCAGGCATCAACAAATGACAGACAGTTGAGAAAGTGGTACATGGGTGTGTGAAGTTTGGGAGTTACTTGGATGAGAAAGAGCATTCCGAGATTGCCCACCAGGGAAACAGGGTAGATCAGCAGGAACAGCATGAACAGGGCCACCTTCAGCTCCATGTGGTCTGTCAGTCCCAAGAGGATAAACTCGGTAACCAGTGTGAAATTGATACCAGCCATGCATTTGCATCTCTTAATACCCAGTAACGACGAGGAGTGGAGACAGAAGTACATTGAGACCAATGATGAAATCTCAATAACTCTGGAATCCCTAAGTAACTATGGAACTTTGGGTAGTGACTTCTCCTCTCTTGTTATCCTGCCTACAAGATTAGGAAGTTTCAATCACAAAGTCTATAATCTCTTGAATCACTGTCCATTTGCTTCATGTGCAAAACATGTGAGGGAAAGAATAAAATGTTGGTATCTTACATCTAGGGGACCTTTAAAATGCTGCTCTTAGTGTAAGTAAGAAGATAAATTGAATTTTATAGTAAACATACATAAAGAAAATCTTGCTTACACAGTGTAAGAAATGTTTGGAAATTCACCCACTTTACTCTAGTAATAATTTAAAATGTGCAATATGTAATTTAAAATATATAAAGATGTAAGAATGCCCCACACCAAATAAAAATGAGGAGTAGTGAAAAATATCAGTTACAGCATGTGAAGAAATAAATGAGGAAGGAAAAAAAAAGAGAAAGAGAGAAAGGGAGAAAGGAATGAAGAAAGGAAGAGAAAGAGAAGAGATGCAAGAAAGAAAACAAATGGCACTATGCCATTTTAACTTGAGATATTCCACTTATGCCTTCGTTATTAGTATCTACTTCATCTTTCTTTCTTTCTTTCTTTCTTTCTTTCTTTCTTTCTTTCTTTCTTTCTTTCCTCCTTCCTTCCTTTCTTCCTTTCTTTGTTTTTGTGATTCTGGGAGTCAAACTCCAGGCTTACTCATAGAGAAGTGCTCTACCATTCACCTACTTCCCCAACCCTTCACATATTTTTTTTTAAGTCAGATGCGACAAAGGACAGGAGCTAGCTTCCAAAATCTCTGAACCCACCTCAAGATAATAGCCCAAAGCACTAGAAATGGTATGAGGGGGGGCTCAGAACTGGAATATGAAATGTGGAATAAAGCAACTCATAATTGGCCTTTGACATCCAATAGAAATACTCTCTTGAGAACTGAGAACCACAATTTCTTTTATTTCTCTGAGAAAAAGCAAAGTGAACCCATAAAATAAGGCAAACTTGTAAAAAAAAAAACCTTGGCAATTCTTTGTTTTCCTTCATGTTGCAAAAGAATGCTTGCAATAATCAATGGTTTTTCCACATAACCAATGTATATCTCTCTATTGCTTACTACTACACTCTGACTAAATATAACTGTCTTTTACATTTATATGACAAATATAAACAATCATAAAAAATCAGCAGTGAATTTTAGGATAAGATGTTGTACTTAGGACAGAAGGCTTATTGGCTGGCTTTGTTCAGATTCTTATCTGGTGTAGTGATGACAACTATAAGAATCAAACACAAAGAAGATGGTTCTTACTGTCCCACACATTCCCCTGCTTTAAACACTTCCCCTGTAAGTCTCAGAAAAATGATTACATTGCAAAACTATTAATAACAAATAAACAGATATATTCCATCTTTATTGTCTATACTAATAAATGAATAAGTCAGATTTAAATTCTTCCTCTAGAAAGAAAATTTCAAAGAATTAATACATTGATAGTTTCATAATGACTTTCATGCTAATTTTTGAGAGATTTGGCCTTCCTTTGTATTTTGAAGTTTTTATTTAAATTTTGGAAATTTAAATTTGACTGAGTAGTAGAATGTATGCATATAAGATTTAGATTAGGGAATTTAACTTACCAATGTAAGGAAAAATATTCAAAACCTCAGCTGATTTAGGAACCTTGTGGCCTCCCATTCCCCTGGTTCACTGCCCTATATTTTCTAAAAATATACAAACAAAAACCAGAACTTCTATCCCCTTCATCTTTCCCAGAAAATAAGACCTTGCTGTTAAATAATCACCCTTTGAAACACAGAGATAACAAGTGCCAGCCCCATCAGCCGTCCTGGCCTCCCCTGCCTTATATGGTAACCATGGAGTAAGAGAACAGTGGTGGCAGGAAGGCGAGGATGGTCTGAGAGGGGCTGGTGTCTTTGTTCTCTAGTTTTCAAGACATTATTTTCCAGCTAGGTTTTATTTTCCAGGAAACACAGCAAATATATCTTACTTTTAAAATGATGCTTGCATTAAGTAGATGATGGTGGTAACTGGTATCAATATTGAAATGCAAAATTATCCTTTAATATAGTAGAGGCAAAGGCTGCAACTCATTGGCAGGAAGTTAGAGCAAGATGATTAAAATACCATTCTGTAAAAAGGAAAGTGTACATAAAATACACAGTTATAGATTCACCTTAGGTGAAATGGGAATATTTCTCAAGAGTAAGCTTCTTATTAAAAGAATAAAATATGCACATTATTAAAGATTCTGAGTTTCTTGAGGGATCTAGAAAACACTCATGGACATAATGGCTTCCCTAAGGCATTTCATTCCCTGAATTTTATAATGAACAGTAAGAAATGTGAGACAAGTGTGGGGGAAAAACAGAACATGTTTTCTGGGGAAAATGTGATTATTTGACAATGTCTGCTCAGTATTTTAATAAAAGTACTTTAATATGCTTTTCAGAATATGCTCATAGGCCTATGTTTCAGGAAAACAAAATACAGTCATTAGTAAACGTTTAGGACAATAGAAGAACTGATGTAAATCACTTTCACTCCTTGGGTCCATTGGACAAGAATGACATCAAAGAAGACTAAAACTCTTACTTCTACTTCTTTAAAACCTTCTTTTCTTGTTGTTAAAAAGGGAAAAGGCTTTACTTAAGATAAAACGAATTCCACCATCCATCTCCTGAATGTTTATTTTTCCAGTGCAGTGCATGGCTACTGGCACACAATCCCATGGTCTTTGCCTTTACCTTACACTGCATCATGACAGACTTTGTTAGTGACGCTTCACATTGTTCGCTTCCTAGGCATTTAAATGAATTTGTCCTCATTCTTTATCCTACAACAGTTCATTTTTTTTTTCTTGTAAGTACAAATTTCTTAATCTCCTTAATCAAAAGCTAACTTTCAGGTGATAGGCCTGGAAACTGATATTCTAAGATTGAGTTAGAAGAGAACCTATTATTTTTAAGGGCCTACATCATTCTTAAAGCCTCATGAATTCTGTTTTTTAAATGTAATTCCTTTCCAATCTCTTTGTAAGAGTATTCAAATTCTGTTTATCAGACCAATATTATCTTTTTATATCATATATTTTCAATATTATCTTTTGAAATTATACAAAATATTGGAACATAGTTTTAAAATGACTGCAATGTCTGTAATCCCAGCATTTGGGAGGCTGAAGTAGGAGCGTCACCGTGAGTTCAAGGCCAGTCTGAACTACATAGCTAGACCTTAGGTCAAAACACAAAGCAAAACAAAAATGACTGCATTAGCTGGCCTTCATCTGACAAGAACAACAACAAAATAATTAAAGTTAAGTAGTCAAAATTAGGTTCTCTATCTTCTGAATCTTATGTTTATCTCTTGAAATCACATACAATACTATGCTTAATGCAAGTATTACTGGAAAATAGTTCTATGATGATCATTGACAAATAAGTTTTGAAACATCTAGAGACTTCATTATTAGTAAAATGACTTTAATTTTTAGAAGCATTGATATTTAGAGGTTATATTGGGTTACAGTTGAATTTAGTTATGGAAAGCTATATTAACTTCATTTAATTATTATTAACTTGTGCTTGGGACAGTTTTTTCATTAGTCTGTATGAAAGTCATTCAGATTAGTATCTATATATTTACATATAACTAAATGGTATGCAAATTGTTAGTGAATATGCTAAATTATTAAATTTTAGAAAAAATTATTTTTCAAATGAAACATTGCAGAGCAATAGGACTGAAAATGACAAGAGCTTTTGAAGGAGGTGCCAGTGAAGATCACCATGCTGTGTGTCACACTCCACTCTGGTGAGAGTGGCATTGGGAGCTGGCCGTGATGACATCAGTGGTCAGAGACCAGACCCACCAGGCAGGGCTGTCCCAGGCAAGGCCTTCAGACTCTGTGGCAGGGCTAGCACTGGGCAGCAGCACCCCAGAGAGAAGACCACTCCTCAGCCTCGAGGCCAGGCTCAGGAGCTGGAGGCTAGTCCAAGATTTCCAGGTTTGGGGTGTGGAGGTGGTGGCTTCCAGATATCTTTGGGAATTGGGACATTTCCTTTGGCATATTGGCCACAGCATTTGACCTAAATGGTGGGCAGCCCCCTCCAGCTGTCCTCCTGACCGACACCCCAGGATGCAGAAGAGCAGTTCCTTTTACGCCTCTTCCTGTTGTGGCCCTTGAGATCAGGTTCTAACCCTGATTGTCCAATGCTGCGCTTCTGTCTGCATCTACCTTGGAATGTCTGGACTGGTGATGTGCCACCCTTGAGCCCGGTGTTTGGCTTCCAGGCTAACCTTGATCCTAGGATTCAGTGGGGTCAATAACACTTCAAGGAGTCTAGCTTCTCCCTCAGAGCTCTGGAACTCATGCCTAGTTGGCAAGGAGCCCCATGCATCCCCACTCTGTACACACCCTTCTGTAACCTCCAGTTTTGGTGCTGAGATCCCATCATGGAGGGCACCATGAAATCGACTCCACCAACTCAGCAGGTGCTGACTGCACAGGGAAGATTTGGGAAGAAAGAAAGTATCAGAATACAATTTCACCTGAGTTTTATGTCACAAAAACAAAGGACGAACCGAATACTATTTATGGATGCTTCCTTTCTTCTCTTTAAATACCTCTTGGTAACTGGCTTCTCCTGCAGTGGGGTTCTTCACACAGAGAAGTTTCCCTTCCACGTCCTCAGGCCCCATTATCATACTGAACCACAGTTTTGTTTTGCCTACTGTCATTTGTGTTTTGGCAAGCTTTTTAGTGTGCAGGATTCTACTGTAAAGAAAAGAAGTGCTGCTCTGTTCTCTTTCTTTCCCTTCCTCTTCTTAGACACAAAATATTGCTCTCCCAGGAAGATCATAATTGCAGCAGCTGAAGCCACTTTATGAATTCACCAGAAACCCAAAGATC